GTATATATATTTGCGGTTGTACAGCTTTGAAAATGAATTCGCCGAAAAGAGAACTCTTCGCTGAACTAATCTTTCTTTCTTGTTTGAACGTGTTATATCGTGAAACATATCTATTAATCAGCGATACACGTGGGGGAGCGCCTAATCCTGAAGTGTTAAGCCCTTCTGAAGATTGAAATGCGCTATTAGAAATTCAGTGCACACTATAGAACTTCGAAAGTCAAGGATGAAGATGTGGTCTGCAAACAGGTTTCATACTTTTAGCCAGACTCACGAAAATATGGTAGAACAGCGTTTGACTCATGAAGTGGTCGGCATTTATTTTTTCACGCGTAATGAAATTGTTGTTATTCACTTAATTTATAAGGTTACGATACTAACTCATTAGATAACTGAGTTTATTATTACGGTTTCGTAACTACACTACTAAATCCTTCTTCTCTTTTTTGCACTGTCGAAAGATAAGAACATTTTTAAATGTATAATGAGCTTATCTCTCGTTTTAATGAGTGACCGTTGACCTTATTATTATTTAATTCTTAACTACATTACTACGATTGTTTTTAAAGTGAATCCCCATATGCATATTTTTCCTCTATTGTTTGTACTTCACGACAAATGGATTTGAACGTGACCGTATTCTTATTGTACTCACTTTTTGCGTCACCAAATCTTTACTTCACTTCACACAGTTAACGGTAGCCGGAAATTGTGTGTGCATAAGTGTGAATGATGTACATTTTACCTGCTTGATACATGTTAGGTGTACAACTGGTCTCCTAGTTAATCACTCATGTTCGTCTCCTAACAGTTAGATGTGTACATCCAAAGCCATTTGCGTAACCATTTTTTTACGAAACAGCCCTCAAGACAGTTTACATGTTACGGTCATATTGGCAGTTTTTATTACGGTTTCATGACCAATGTGATCAAGCATATCTGACTACACTAAGATTAACAATCAAGCAGTAACATAAGTCTGAATATTTCCTCTTTACAATTAATCCTTTGTCTACCGTGCTATTCGGCCAATTCATTTTCAACACGAACTCAATGCTTGGTGAAGTATTGCCGATGACCACATACACCTGGTTCCTAATATAAATAACAACAGTACAACAGTGTGCATCGCTTCGTAGAACTCGTATAAAGGATGAGTCACACAATCCTGAGAGGCTAAAACTGCAAATGAATTCCGATAGTCGCATAAGTGTACACCATTGATGAATATCCTCCTTTTCTTCGAAATATGTAGTCGAGATGGGTCATATGCTTGATATCAAATCAGTATAAAAATAACATGTTGGCTTTTGACCCTTTTTGTCACTTCAATCTCTCCTTAGGAAGTCAGTCATAGGTTTATTGTTGGTTGTTGGCTACTAATATATTGCAAAACGCGAAAATATGAGCAAAGAAACATCTGAACTTCTTAATATAGATTCGAATTTATAACCGTTTTTACTATCCAATGTCTTTGTCTAGCAGCTGTACAACTTACCTTCATTTTTTCCAGCTAAATGTACGCCTTCAAAAGCATTTTTAATGCTATAGCTGTTTTTAGTGCTGTTCATTTTCACGGAGATTAGATAGAAAATAGTATTCTGCAGTCCTGTAATCGAATTCAACCACACAGTAATCGCGTATCAAAAGGTCTACCGTACTCTTTTTGGTGTCCCATGAGTGCATATGGACGTGTGGTAATTTTTCTCAATGCATTAACCATATGAACATTTAATTCTTCATTTTGTTTTTTGAAAATGATTTATACGATTTCATAACCCATTCAGTTAATAGTGATGCGTTACTCAACATTATGTGTTACACAATGTTTTCTTTATTATCTCTGTTTCCTCTTGCACTACAGTTTGTCTAGCTGAAATATTGCATGAATATCTTAGCAAATATATGTAATCATATTGTTCGAGATGAACTAAAAATATAATACAGAATTCAGATAATCCTTGTCTTCTCATTATACTGTACAAAGTTCGAAACGCAGTTTACTTGTTACTACATAACGATGATTACTTTGCGGAAAAACACCTATAACTATCGGTCTTTGGTACCTTCGTCAAGATTCTATTTCAATTCATTTTAATGACTTAGTGAAAATTGTTCAAACACCATTATTTTTCATTCTTTCACACACAAATTACGTTAGTTACTGTGTTTCTGTTAATAACCTTATTAATAATATATATTCTTAGATAAAAACGTATTGCATCAGGGACTCCAGTTTACAGACAAGATAAGACTGTTACAAATGCTACAAGCATCACGCCATTAAGTTGCTCGATTAGGTTGAGGCATATTTGATAAAAAAAGGAATAAATTTTCACACAGAATATTAATGTTAGTAAGACTCTAACGATCAGTATAACGAATGGTGCGCTTTGTGGATATTGCATTATGACAAGCAGTTGATCCAGAGTTGTCTATAATAAGAGGTAATGTGGTAAATGCATAGCCAGTCATCAAAAGACGTCAAGTTGAAGGTATTAGTTTTTTCCCCGTTATAATGACCACAGATAAATTTTGGAGGTGTTAGTTACGGAGCAGGGCAAAAGTGTACATTCCATATATGATTTCGGTGATACACAATCACGGTGCTGAAAAAGAGAAAGGAAAAGGGAAGGACATGAAACAGATAGTATTCATGACTAGTGAAGTTTATTCGTTTCCGATAAAACAACTGAGTTATGATTAATTAGAAGTATACTCTTTTATTAGGTCAATTTCTATAAAAGTGTATATCACCAGGTTAAAGACTACGAGCTAAAGTATAGCATTTGGTGAACGAAGGTTTATATAAATGGAGGCGGTTCAAAAGAGCTGGAAGTTTAGGACTAAGTGTATTTTCAAAGTTTAGTAAGAGAACTCTTCGCTGAACTAATCTTTCTTTCTTATTTAATGAAATAATGGGTGTATTACGTCTAATTATGACAGAGTCAAAAGTGCGAATTAAAAAATGCGCAGATGAATACATTCCCCACATTCACATCTGTAAACAAACAGTGAGTATAATCTGATTAGGTGCACAGTTGGGGTTGGCCAATCGTCATCTTTAAGTATTAGTCTTGATATAAGAATTCTTATGATTCAAATATAATGTACACAAAATATACGACGAATAGGAACACTCAATGGTAAAAAAACACAAAAGTACACACTTGTGGGTCATAAGTATTTATGATGAATACGAAGTTACTAGGAGGATAACAGTGATTTACTAGTTTGACTTCATTATAATTTCTAATAAGTGCGAATTCGCAAGCATGTTGTTGTGGATGCGGAGGAATAGACCAATAATTATCATGTTAAGTCCAATGGTGTCCTTGGACTTTAAATGGACATTTCATATTGGTCGATATCTGTTCACTTATTGAATATTGTACAAAATGTTGTTTTCTATTTTATGGTACGATGTGGTATGCTTGATTGGTATATAAACAAAGTATGTTTGAAATATAATGATTCATATCTCCGAGGTTGTGACTTGTGTTCTTGACTCAACTGACTGGGCTAGACTGGGAAGTGAGACCAATCGAGACTCTAGGCCGTCCGTACGTGTTTACGTGTCACTGTAATCGATCGATAAGTACGCTGCTCTCTAATTTTCCAGTCAAGGACACAACAATTAGCACAGGGTAAAAGTCTACCGCAACTTAAAGTCATAACACATGTACAGCCACTGCGGATGTAAATATCCCTTAGATACTCCATGTTAGAAAACGCTTTGGTCTGTAACCCTTTAATGAAAGAACGGTACCAAACTACTCAAACCAGAAGTCAGAAATGGAAGTGTTGGAAGAAAGATTTAGGATGTTGTCGATATGTCGAGAAAAATTTGGTCTAAGTTGGTTAGTGGTTGTAAGGGATGCGTAGCCAAACACACTCGCTCGTGATCTGGTGCGAATGCGTGACCCTGTACATCCAGCTTGAGTGTGTCCAATAAAATTAATGAGATCAGCATCAATGTCCAAGACTTACAGTAATATTGTTTGGTGACTTATTTATAACTACAGATGAAAGTGACTGAGATTAACACCTGGCTTACGTTTTGTAACGAGTTCTGTCGTCTAGGAATCTACTTTTCAGAAAATGTTGTGTTTGAGACACCGAATTCGGGAATAGAGGGATCGAATTAAGGTTTTTTGGCTCTATTATTCAAGAATAAATGCTTTCAAGTGTATCATGTTGCACATCGGTCATCAAGGTAGGAATGAATACAGAGTGAGCTACCTGTCGTTCAGACATTTAATAACTTAAAATTCATTGTTAGCGGAGACTTAAAAACTACTGCAAACTGCCATGTGATAGATGTTAATTATTTAGAACCCTTTGGTCACTACATAGGAAATTTACCCATGTCAACGCTTTAACCATCCACAGTGTTCTTTAGCACTAACTTGAGTATTGCACGCAAGGGGTTAGCCTTTACCTAAAAAGAGAACGTAAGATACTGGAAAAGCTTCAAGGGACTGCAACTAAGCTGATTCACATAGTCGCAAAGTTCACGTACGATGACAGACTAACTAAATTAAAAAACCCATTCCTCTTGTCGTAACAAGAAACCAAAGGTGAATTTATCATATTTTTAAAATTACTTAGCGATAACTTTGCATCTGATAAGCTTTTCTTGTTCTTTTCTTCCAAAACATAGTATACGAGTACATTTTAAAATGTTCACAAGCTCAGGACAAACAACGTGTCGGATGAATACCAACTTCTCCTTCGGACCATCAACGAGTGTAATTTATTACCTCAACAAGTGACTGAATCTCCATCTGTCAACGCTTTCAAAAGAAAGTTGGATCATGTCCATTCCGAACGAAAACTGAATTTACTAACATATTGTTGTTTTTCCAAAGTTCCCAACGGGTTGTACCATAATTCATATTTTTCTTCAATTCCAAACAACCTTCTATACCACAAAGACTGATCTTAAAGGACATCGATAACTATACGTGACCTCGATTGAGGATTATAGATATAATGTCGTAGCAGCGCGCGGTCTTCAACTGCCTGACGCGTCATGGCCTCGTTTTTTGATGTCAGCTCTAAGAGGAAAGATAAAAAAGAAGAGGAAGAAGGTAAGGAAGGTCTTGTTGCCTCATCATTGGTCTTTTGCAACTTGGTGTTTATGTGCCTCACATGTAATGCTTTTGTCTATTTCCAGGCTACGGAGCAGTGTATGCTAAGCTGGATAAATCTGTGGTTTTGCAAGAAGTATTTGCAACTTATGCTCTCTCTCTATATAAATATTTTAGGCCCGCTTGTTTAATCAAACAACACTTAACCCAAGGAAATGTGTGCACATATTGACTAAAATTCTAGTGATTTTGGAGCAGGTTTAAATTAATTCATTATTCTTAAACTGGATATATAGAGTGAAAAGTTGGGGAAGGTAGAGGCAACGGATGCTTTTTTCGCAATGACCAAGTTGTTTCAATCCAATGACGTATGTTGTTTGATCCTAACTTTTGTCTTCAGCAAAATCTTCGTCGCATGCTTTACCTAGTGATTAAAGAATTGTCTGCTGTTGCTGATGACGTGATTATTGTTACTAGCAGGTACCTTCTCGAATAATAACTACTCCTCCCTAGCTTAACTAAAGATATGACCGGCCCAGAGATTGCTTTTCGAGGTCCTGCAATTCGGGCGCTTTGCACTATTACGGATGTAAGTCCAGGTTCAATTTGATTTTCTTTTTCAGGCAGCGATGGTCCAAAGTATTGAACGCTACCTAAAACAGGCTGTAGTAGATAAGTCTCCTGCAATAGCATCAGCTGTGTTGACGTCAGCATATAAGTTAATGGATGTTTGTCCGGATATAATCAAAAGATGGACGAATGAAGTACAAGAAGCTGCATCGGGCTCTCGTATAATGGTACAATATCATGCTCTTGGTCTGTTGTATTTAATTCGTCAATCTGATCGACTTGCTGTGACGAAAATGATTCAAAAGTTTACTCGGTCTACTTTGAGATCCCCTTACGCCTACTGTCTCATGGTGAGTTATAATTCGTTATCTCACTTCTGTAGATAAGGATAGTAGCAAAGCAGTTGGACGAAGATGGGCACTCGTAAGTACTCCGATTTTTTTTAAAGGGAAGTCTGTTTATTTAATTTCCAAGTATTCCGAAACTTATACGTGGAATAACTTTTTGTGGCTTATTGTCGGACATTTTTAACCACTGCTAACGACAGGCGAGTCATAGCGTAAAATCCTGCACACAGATGAGTAGGTAAGCTTTTACGGTTAGTTGTATAATGAAGCACAGAATTCGGAGAATTATCATAAATACTGGAGAAATCACGGTTAAAAACCAATAATTAGCACCACAAATCCCGTGATTTCAGGAGACAAAATGTTGGTACATTTAGATATTGCAAGTAACTTGAAATTTTGTCGTCTACTCAGTGATAGTTGGCCTCCATCAACAAAAGGCTAACCGGAAAATGTTGGTTTACTAAATTATATGTTGATGTATAATCTTTGTTTTTGGAGTGTTTAACGGTCGCGCAGCTTTTAGAACTTAAGGATTCTTCTTAGGTTTCAGCGGGAAATGTATTGACTCACTCTAATTCCGTCAACGATCGAAGTCAGTCAGTCAGCTACAACGTAGGACCAGGCACATATATACATCGGTCCAAGTTGCAATACCTCATTAGCACAACAAGATAGTAGTCACTTCAATGGTAGTAATATATGAAAGAATTAGTTCGTAGAAAGATATAAGGCGATTCCAATCTCAGTTTAAGGGAAGCCAAAGAGTGTATACACCTACGCCGTTGTGATCGGTTCTGAACCATGTCACACAAAGTCTCTAGCCACTGGTTACGACAGTCGCGCGAACCCCAACCAAGTAGTCTGCATCTACCAACATGGCTCAGACCAGATGTTAGTGACTTTAAGCACTGATGCCACGTTTCGGTTCGACCGCCCCTAACTTCCTTCCAACCATTCCCTACACTAGTCAGCATTGTGCGTCGTGATAATCGGTGTTCAGGCATACGTAACACGTGGCCCAACCATCTCAATCAATGAAGATTCACAACCTCATCAATTGATTTACCATGGTTCCATGATACCCTGTCTAAACTCACTATTACCTATCAGGTGATCCCAGCAGATGCTGGCAATATTTCTAAGACATATGTGGTCGAATATTAGTAGTTTACGAACATCTACTCTTAGTGACCATGTTTGGCATCCTTAAAGTAGAACAGAACGAACTACCGCGCAGTAGACTTCCTTATATTGATAGACGGATATCTCGCCTTCGCCAAAGGTGACGTAAGTTGGCAAAAGCCAAACGAGCTTTTCGAATCCGTGCAGAGATTTCGTCAGACACCAACCCATCAGGGCTGGTCAGACTTCCAAGATAAGTGAAGTTGTCAACGCGTTCGACTACTTCACTCCCAATCCTTAGTTCAGGTGTTGACGCAGACCAGTCCTGAAGCAACAACTTGCATTTCGAGGGAGAGAAGCGCATTCCAAACATTCTGGCATTGTTGCTTAGTGCTACCAGAAGACTGCATTTAATCAGCGTCTTCACCAAACAGGAATATGTCATCTGCGTATTCTTAGTCGATAAGCGGACTTCCTGGAAGGAGATCAATGTCCGAGAATTCAGTGGACGAGAATGTTATTTCCATCAGCAGGTCTATGATGAAGTAAAACAAAAATAGAGAAAGTGGACAGCCTTGACGGACACCACTTGAGGTTGCAAAATTAGATGACAGTTCGCCATAAGCCCTGACTTGACTAGTAGTGTTCGAGTAGAGAGCCTTCACAAGGTTTATGTACTTCTGAGGTACGCCTCTGAATGACAGACACTGCCACAGAATCTAGCTGTCTACAGAGTCGAATGCTGCCTTTAGGTCAAGAAAGACACCATTGTCGGACGCTGATAAGCATGCTTGTGTTCTAGAACCTGACGAATAGTGAATATGTAGTCGAGGCAGCCTCGACCAGGTCTGAGGCCAACCGGGTTCTTGTATTTGCATTTCACGAGTCTCTGTTAGGCGCCCGATAATCTCTGAGGCCAATATTTTATTATGTATTACACATAAATATTGGTACAAGAGGGCACCAAATATGTATGCGCCACACAAAACAATGATAATGGGAAGAGAAAAAGAAGGTAAGGAGCTTATAGGAAAAAAAAGAATAATAACGAACAGATTACTGTACGGTAGTGTAATAATGCAGGAAACGGAAAGGTACAATCAGAAGAAATCTTTCAGCTAAGGAAGATACAACCACTTTTTATGAAGAAAGTAAAAGAAGGTTACAGCACGATCGCCACTGGCTTCTATTCTGAACCATATCTAATAACGTCACTAGCTTTTGTGTTGCGCCATCTCTAGGACCCCAGCCAGGGAGCCGTGAAGGACCGACACAAGCCAGTCCTTTGCAGCTTTCTTTCATACCACGACACCATGTCATACACTGACCACCTCTCCGCTTCTTCCAACCAGTCCCAGAGTCGGCAAATAATGCACGACGTGGAATTCTCTGGGACGACATTCGTACAACATTTCTAAACCACTGAAGTCGATGTTTCAAGATGGTGACACCAATTGAATTATCATCTCTGTGCCCGAACACATGATGCCGAACCTCTGCATTACTAACATGGTGTTGCCACTGGATGTCAGCAGTCCTTCGGAGAAAGCGATGACCGAACACAGAGAGTCGTCTAACATCCTCAACTCGGAGAGGCCAGGTTTCACAAGCATAGAGCATAACTGTTCTCACCGACGCGTTGTAGATCCGACCTTTTACAGCCAGACTAACATCACGAAGGCGCCATAGGTGGCCCAGATTGGCATAAGCCACTCTGACTTTCACTATACGTGCATTGATCTCATCACTCACACCCCCACCAGCACTTATGCAGCTACCCAGATACACGAACTTCTCGACTACTTCTATCTGTTCACCATCCAGAGTGAGTACAGAATTGGAATCCTGCCAGTCCTGTAGAAGTACTTTGCACTTCGAAGGTGTAAAGCATATACCATACCTACGGACACTGATTGCCAACTGATTAAGAGCGGATTGCATGCCTTGGGCATTATCGCACAGTAAGACAATATCATCCGCAAACTCAAGGTCGAGAAGTCTTTCTCCAGGCAACAGATCCACACCACCATTACTTGCATTCATCAGAGCTGTTTCCAGAATGTCATCGATGACAAAGTTGAAGAGGAATGATGAGATTGGGCAACCCTGCCTAACCCCACTGCTCGAATGGAACAATGGAGAGAGGTGGTTGTATGCCCTCACTCTGCCTGAGGTGTTTGTATATAGGGCTTTTAGGATGTTAATAAACTTCTCAGGCACACCCTTCTTCAATAGACAATCCCAGAGAACAGTCCTGTCCAACGAATCGAAGGCAGCCCTGATGTCAAGAAACACTACGATTGTTGGCCTTTGATAAGTATGGCGGTGTTCTAACATTTGGCGGAGGGTGAAGATATGATCAATACATCCTCGACCAGAACGAAACCCAGCCTGCTCCTCGCGATTCAATCTTTCTCGGGTTTTGAACAACCTACTAAGTATGACGGAAGCCAATAGCTTGGACGCAGTCGGAAGTAGACTTATCCCCCGATAGTTGTTACAGGAACGACGTGAACCCTTTTTAAAGATAGGGACAACTATCGACTCATTCCATGACGTTGGTACACTCTCTAGACATGCAATTGCAACCAATGCTCATCTATACTTTTCGGTGGAGTGGTAGCTAGCCTAGAGGCTAGCTCGGTTCGATACTTACTAGCAACAGAAGTTGCAACCAGCTTGCTAATATCAATCCGTTGATGGCGGTCACTTCGTTGTCCACTGAAAAGTAAGGTAAGATTGGCGCAGACCAAGGCATGGTCAGAGTCCAGATAGGTACTCCAAAAGGAGCGGCAGTCTTGTACACAACCACGCCAACGGTAGCTGATCGCGATGTGATCAATCTGAGTCCAGGCTTGAGATGCAGAGGGAGGACGCCAGGTGACACATCGGCGATGACTGTGCCGAAAGTTAGTGCTAGCCAGAAACAGGTTGTGGTCTGTGCACAGTTACAGTAGACGGTCCCCGTTATCTGACCTGCGACCAACGAGTCCCCACCGGCCACCTAAACGACTCTCTTCTGTGCCTAGACGCCCTACCTGAGCATTCAAGTCTCCAGCTAGTACTACAATATCTGTCGAACGCACTTTCTGGAGAATAACAGATAACTGGTGGTAGAGTTCATTCTTGATTGCATCCGGGCTGCAATCTGTCAGGGCATAGACGGAGATGGCGAAAAGACATGGTTTCTCACGCCGATTTCTTCTCACTTTGATGGAACTTTCTAATCTAACAGCACATAACCGACTGTTAATGGGGATCCAATCGATTAGTGCTGCCTCAGCTCTAGTGCTTAGTGCGACACCAACTTCAGCAAGACCAGACGAAGATGCCACAGTGTCCCCGGATAAGCGCACGTAAAACAAGCTTTTCGAAGCGACAGATGCAAAGCGAATTTGTAGTACTTCACCAGAGTCTTGAATACGGGTCTCGTATATACAAAAAACATCAATATTAAGACTTTCCAAAGACATAGCCAGCCCTATCTGTTGTCCGACCTGCATAAATGTGCGAACGTTGAAGGCAGCCAGTTTGAATGGTGCACTTGGTTTTAAAAGAACTGTTTCAGTATTCGTATTCGGTGGTAGCATACAATTTTCAACCAGGCAGTGACTCGAGAACGTTTAGATAGAGCCGAATTCCCACCATAGATAGGCTGCTGTATAAGTCGAAAAATAAGGATACACAGAGTAGAAATAAAAGAGAGTGAATAAATGACGTAATAAATAATAATAATAATAATAATAAGGATCTTTTGATTGTAAACCGAATCGATAATAGACTCCTCAGTAAATATCATCATTTTCATTATATTTGTGTGTGGACTGTGATACTGCCCGGATGCCCAGACCGAAACAGGTGCTTTTCTTAGAGGACCACACCCCGAGCCTTTGACCTAAAGGTCTGACCCACAAGGCAGTGGGGCATGGTGAGGAGATGCAGTCCCATGGA